AGGGAGCTTGAGAACTTGGAAATAAATACACAAGATAACATCCACCTTCAGAAAGTTAACATTGTTAGAACAACAGCTATAAACATGTTTGAAAAACTATTATGAGGCTGTCTCGTTTTGGATTCACCCAGTTCCAACCAAATCAGCAGTTGGCTGGCGTCCCATCAGATATCATTGTTCTGTGTGTACTTTCCCATCAACATACCACAAGTACGGCTATAGAAGTCTCTGTTCCGGGCATGGCATAAATCCCCAGATCCTTCAAAAAGGGGAAGCTTCTCTGCTGGTGAAGAATCATCCTGGTAGCAGCTGTGGTCTGAAGGAAGGGAATGTACTCCTCCTGGTCAATGTCAAGGACCATCTTGAGCCCTGGGGAAAACAAAGAAGACATTCAGCCTTTCACATGCAACATATATTTGACAGCACATTGTACAGACAACACGTCAATGTTTGACTTCCCAATTATGTCTCTTTACTCACACATGGGCAGATTGGGACATTTGAAATGTCCCTGTCTTGGCTGTGTTGACTGATCAGAAAAACATCTATGTTAAAGGCTGAAACTGACAGATATATGCAACCCAGGTGGTCCAGACACATTGGAACAATTGCATCAAGAATTTCATACAACTGCCATTGTGACCCTGAAATGATTGTTGCCTGCCCAAGCATCAACAAAGTCAAAAGAAATCCATAAATGTGCCAAAAACCTATGAGTCCTTTCTGGAAATAATCTGCATGGTTTTAGGTAACATAACCAAGGTAGCACTAATGAGATATAACACAGACTGGCTATGGCAGTCAAGTGTTTGATAAAATGGTCTGTTGGACAACTAAATCCTTTATGCTCTCCCACCAGCCTCTCCTGTTGCAGGGGGGCCATATTAGTGGAAGGTTAAAGTCTTGGTTGTCAAGTTTTAATGGGGCAGCTGGCTTCCCATTGTTTCATTTATATTGATTTATCTTTACATCTTATACATATTTTATACTTGTATACTGTATTTCATACATTTCAACGTGTTAGGAACTGTGTAGCAAAAAACATGAGGATGTGGCCTAGAGCTGCACATAAGCATCAAGATAATATAGGCATCATCCTGTAGAGACCTGGGTGTAAATCTGTCAGAATGGGGCCTGACCATCAAGAATTTTTTTTTCACCTTGAAGCAATGAAGTTACTGTCAACTGTAGACTGGAAACAGAGCTACTGCTAAGACTAAGGGAAGTCTTCAGGCAGAAACTAAAATGAACAGTGAATCTCAGGATGACAGTTTTTATGATGTAATCTGACCTTTAGAATAACATAATTACATTCTAGTAATTCATTACCCCAACAATGGCGACAATCTTCATTGTCAGGAATCTTTTATTCTTTTATCTGAAGTGTCACTCCCAATATATGAAAACTAAATGAGGCATGTCCCCTTTTCTCTGTCCAGCTCTTATCAAGCTTTCTCTTGTCTACAGACAGATGCTATCCACAAACCAAGGGATGTAATGAAAAGAAATTGTAAATCCTAGTTAGAAAATTTATAATTTATGATTCTGTAATGATCACTTATTGCATATGGAATCAATATTAACTTAGGAAATGAGTAAGAACTAATGAATGCACAAATCATGATCTGGCATTTTTGCTAGATGCATACATGTATAATTAATTATAAGTTAATAATCAGGAAAACAAAAATAAGTCCTACCGATGGTTAAGTAACTTCCACAACCAACTGGGAAGAGAAACATGGGACACTCATGTTGTATTTGAGTAAGCAGCCTTTGCAAAATGTTTATTGCTATTACAATCCTACTTTAGGACCATATATCATAAGGAAATGCACAAAGTCAACTGTTACCATTACTGCCAAGGCTCCCAACCAGGAATGTCCCCAGGCGTGGAGTCACCCGGACACCCCCTTGCATGGACGTCATCACGCATGTGCATGGCGTCATCATGCACGTGCATAATCACGCTGCGCACTTGCCTGTTGGTGGCCATATTGGTGATGGAGGCCGGCAAAGAAAGGAGGTGATGTTCATTCGTGGGATAAGGTATGCCCCCTCTCTCATGCAACTGTCGGGCTCTTGGTCCATGACCAAGTGCCCAATTTTTCAGAGGGAGGTGACACCAAACTGAATGTCAGTCATTTTGATGTCACATGGTGCGGGCCGCACCCCCACAGTGCTCCCTACCAGCACCGGAAGCTGCTGCTGAAATGATGCTACATGGAACATTACTGATAGTGCTGAATCCACTCTGGAACTAGCATTTCTTTCAGGTATCAGAAAATGGCCATGCTGGGAATCTTGGCTTAAAATGACACTAAACTCATGAGTTAAATCTTAAAAATGCATTTAAAGTACCTTAACTATTAACATAAATGTATCTTATTTGTGTATCACTCAGCTGTAGATCCTTTTTTTGTTCCCCTTGGTCCCTGTGTGTGTTGTAATGTAGCCAACTCCCATAATGTCGACTTTTCAAGGGAGCTCAGTCTATTTTGCTTAAAGGAGAACTATGAGGTGAGTGCTTTTCACTCACCTCAGAGCTCTAGCCGACCTGTGACAATGAGACTGTCACAGGTCGGCTCAGTAGATCGGGAGGTGAGCGAACACATACCGGCGTTCGCTCACCTCTCGATCCTGGCTGGATTCCCCCCTCCCCGCTCCGATCCGCCAGCGCTGACTAGGGGATCGGACGGGGGAGGGGGCGGGTACAGCTGGCTCTGCCTCTAGATAGGCAGAGCCAGCTGTCACTCACGAAGCTGGGCGGATCTCGACATCGATGTCGGGATCCGCTCCGGCTGCGGCATCTCACTATACCGTGAGCTGTAGCTCGCGGTATACTGAGCTTAAGGTAACGGTAGGACACTAGTTTGTGTCCTCCCGTTACCCAAAGGAGAACTATGGGGAAAAGCCCTGACCCCATAGTTCTCCTTTAAGAAAGATGAACTGGGCTCCATCAAAACATTGACAATAAAATGTAATAAAACAATAAAGACTCGTGGGTGTCTCTATTTCTACTTTGGATATATATCGATATACTGTATATCTATATATACATATATATACTGTATATAATATAATAAAGGAGTTGACTTTTAGTTGACTGCAATCTAGTATAACAACTTTAACTTTATCTCTACATGATTTTACTAATGTCTTTGTCCTCTTTGGGGAGATCTGACCTCACTATTTGTCGTAGGGATCCTTGTTGTTAGAAGGGAAAGTAAGGGGGAATCCCAAACTTTATGGTTGTCATCGCAATAGAAGTAGTGGAAGTATCTTACACGTGTCAAATTTGGGATTTTTTTTTCTCTTTTTACTTTTTTATGTTGAAGGCCAACTTGCAACAACAATTTCTATCTTTAGGGGAAGGCGTGTATCAATAGTCTGGCTTGCCTTGCTCAAGCAGGCATGATCCGCATAAAACATAAACACAATGTTAATTTCACATAATTGCAATAACAAAAAAGACTTTCATTGTTTAAACTGCAAATAAAAAATGAAACAACCCACAGCTGTTTTTTTTCTCTGCAAGAGGTTGGAAGCATTCCGTGGAAAAGGACATACAGTATGTCAACCGGAGGAAGAAAAAAACCTTCCAGAAGCTTTGTATGCAGGGCTACCATGGCAGGAACATCAACTTCTGCTACATGAGACAACAATAGTAAGGGCATAGATACATTTTGGGCATTTGTTCTGAATACCAGCAGCAAGAGAGAGAAAACCCTTTGTTGGGACCAGCTGTTTCTGGACCTTGCCCAGTACCCATTTTTGTATTCCACAAATGTTAGAAACTTGATTAAAGCAGAGATCTATTAGATCTATTTAAGGCATCTATTTGGCTTTAGATACACTTTAAAGCCAAAAACACATTTCCTGCGCTAGGTTGACTACGCTTCCTCACTGCTGTGTATCTATGCTCTATGCTCTCTTGATTTGGACTATAACCACCTTCCTCCTTTCCTCATCTCTATTACATAGATAGGAAAGGTTGTGTAGTTCACAAAAGATAGCTCAGAAAGCCGATAGCGTTTAAAATACCTATTCATTCCACAAAAGTGACAAGGACACTGGAATTCTCTCGAGATCAACAGATGTTTGTCTGTACTCGCAAAAAATATTAAAAAGCTGGCCATAGATTTACAAATGAACTTTAATACAAAACTAAACTCCAGGCACTCAACCTTGCCCCCACTTTTTGAAAATAAAAATCCTATTGTAAAACCCTCTTTTACCGACCTAAGTCTGCATTTGTTTGTCGTGGCTACCGGGTCCTCTATCTTTTTCCCTGCGGAGGAGGAGGATCCTCCTTTGCGTGTCCATGTTGCTCCATGGGAGACATGGATATTTCCTGTTGGCTTTCCAGAGGTGAGGTCCTCTCAAAATCCAGGAGATTGCAACGTTGTTACAAAGAGGCAACCAGTCAACACTGGGCACAGACTACAGCACTGGTTGTCCACCAGTGGTGGGACCGGCAAAGGATACGGACGGCGATGTTAGGTATAGAGTATAATAAACACTTCATAGGGCATTTACTTTATTAATAAGTGCTGAATAAATGAAAGGGGTGGAAGGGGAAGAGCGGTGCCGGGACAGGGGCTTTAGCGAAATGATCATCCTTTACTCCTTTAGTAAACCAACAAAAATATATCTTAGATTTTCATCTGAGCATTTGTTGGTCGTGTTGGCTGAATTGCTCAAATAATCTACAGATCTGTGTTTGCAATAGAATATTAGTACAACAAGCAATAAAAATGTGAAACCTGAATTTAAGACATCACTTTGAGAAAATGTTTTCCAAAAAATCTCTATATAACTGCTCAGCAAAAGTAAGCAATACTTTTTTTCTTTTTAAGGACACTATATAATTGCATTCCCTTATAATTATGCTTTTAGCTTACATAGTACAAACAGTTTTGTAGGTCTGTAAATATTTACCAGTGAATAACAACCTCTGTGTCATCTTCAGGATAATTCAATTGATAATTAAGTCATCAGCAAATGGTGATCTCTCCGATTCAGAGGTGACAACACCCAGGTGTTTAGCTGCCTCGCCTCATCGCTATTATCACCGATCCCAGTGCTGTGACATCATCATTTTAATATAGGGACACAGATATATAAATATATACTGTATATAACATTTTTATCAGTAGCACAGCTTTTGTTGAATGTAGGATAGAACTAAGAATGGGGACAGGATGCCGATTATATGCCTCCTCTATTGCGCCACCTTTTGTGTGGGGACATATCTAGCAGCCTGGTAATATACACTGAGTGGCCAGATTATTATGGCCACCTGACGTTTGTAGGCAAATTAGCTATAATTAGCTATAATTTCACGTTGAAGTTGTTAGAGGGCCATACCATTATAAATAGGGAAGCAGGTTGTTTACCACGACAGTGAAAGTGATTTTTTTTCTGAAGATATGGGTAAACAACGCGATTTAACAGCCTTTGTACGTGGGAGGACTGTTGGCGCTCGGAGCCATGGAGCGAGTATCAGCAAAACAGCAGAATTCGTTAAATGTTCAAGAGGGGCTCATAGTTAAAGTGTTTAAAGACTGGACTGCCAAAAATCTGGGTCTGAACGTGCAAATTGTGCCGTCTGCGACTAGTCAATGTTAGGGCAGAACGGAGAGTGGCAAGACTGGTACAAGACAATAGAAGGGCACCATCACCTTTCAACATCTCGTGGAGTCACGAGGCGGCCCAACAAAGTCATCTCATGGAGTCATCTTGTGGCCCAACGAAGTACTGATAGGGTGGGCATAATAATCTGGCCACTCAGTGTATATGCTCAATCAAACCTGTAATTCTACCAGTATGTTAAAAGCGACCCTGTCACAACAAAATAATTCCACCCTTCCTCCATGCGGCTCAAACCCCCCCCCCCCTCCAATCACAACCACTTTGCTCCGTGCAATCATGTTTCTTCTCTTCCCTTCTCCCTTGGCAGCTGCCCATTAAGGCCAGTTTGATCAGATGAGTTCCATACCATGGCTGTGATGACACTGTGAAGGGGCCACCAGTCAGGCTACATTTAGGCTTTTCATACACTTAAAGCTTACTTGGTGCATGTACAAAAATACAGTTGAGTTGTACTGTCTATAGCCACCTAAACTCTTCATGATATCAAATATTAACCGGTTGTTTGGGCAATCAAATTACTTCTCCCTGATACTAGTGTTTCAAAGTATTCAATACATCAACTTAGGAGAAGACTCTACAGTTTAGCCTAGTACAGTATGATCACAATTGGTTGTTCATTGTTTTGGGGCTTTTTGTACAGATCAGTGGATCATGTCTTAAGAGGGGACACATGTGAAGCTAAGAGGGACAGAGAGGTCTGAGTCTAGTACATTATACACTGTACATCTGGGACTGAGCAGCATGGGAGTAAAGATCAAGTATGGTGCTGGCTACTGTAGCCACCACCTCCATCCCATCCCCAGGGGGCTCTTGATGTACTGATGTTCTTCTAGAACTGTGGAAACTTTGTGAGGCATTATAGTCTATTGTGACAGTACATCTAGCGCTGGCTGTGTACTATATGCCAAGGCTGCTTTTTTATTCCAGTTCTGCTTGATAATTTAATACACTGGCATTCACAGCAAAGACCTACCAAAATCGGCTCCTGGGTTAGTAGATTCCAGCAGCTCCTGGCCTTCTTGTCCCCAGTTAAAGATGTAGCAATTTCCATAATCTTGATGGAAAATATGAGTGAAATTTCTGAAAAAGAGAGCATTGATTTTACATTTTCTGTACTTGTAGAAAATGTTCTTAGCATGCAAAAATCAAAACTAAAGCAGCCACCACATCTTAGGACTAATACGCTGCACATATTACATTTATATTATTTGGTTTAGATATGCTTTAAAGCTGGTTTCTAGGATAATGTTAACCCACCTCACATCCCTACCTCTCACCTCCCTCTAACTGAGCCCATACCTAAAGCCGCAGTCACATGATGCTGCAGTCCTGAGCCTTCTCTTCAGTTTACATCTGGTGCGGTTCATCTTTGGGTTCCCATGTCACTGCCTATGTGACATGGAAACTGCCTGTTGGCCGTCCAGTGGTGGGGTCCTCTTGAAGACAGTGGAGTGTCAGGGACCAGCCTGCAAGGGATGATCTGCAGCATTGGGTGATCCCCTGCACCCGGAAACAGCTCTGGTGGGGGACCTGAATGGCATACTAGATAGGTATAACTTACTTCACCAAGTACAAAAAGGGTTAGAGGGGAGTGGAGGTGGGGGGTGAATCATATTTTGCTGTTTTGAGTGGTGTCAGCAATAAACGTGTGCTGTATGGAAGCATGCAACATTACATTTAAAGTAGTGTCAGTATATAATACCATCAAAAGTAAATAATTAATATTTTAGAATGTATTCTCTATCTAAATAGGCAATAAAAATCCAGATAAAGCCAGCTTCAGCTATACATTTTCTCTTGCAGTTTCAGTCTCGTTTCAGAAAGCGCACACTTCTACAGAACATTTATGAGCTTGCTGTCAGGACTTTAAATACAACCTGTCACCACATACATATGTAGTAATGTCTGAAATTATTTCATCCACACCCCTCAATCTCGATAAAACTGCTTCTGTGCACACTGGAACCCACAAGCCCGGATGGTTGCCAAATGTAAATCTTGACTTCCAGCCATACTGGCGGAGCTGGCAGATCATAGTATGCTCTTCTCTGTAGGTGAGGCATAGAGGGACATGCTCTGAACTGTGGGATGCAAGTGAGATGTCACCACTTGATTTTGGGTTACTGTTCATGTAGTGTGGGCCCGGGTTAATAGAGAGCTCTGGACAGCAATATCAGCATGAAAGTGTACCTGTCCGAAAACCAATGGAGGCAATAATTCAACATTTATAAAGACTGTTGCTGTTGCTTTCATTACATATGCTTTATGTCAAATCTTTCGATATCATGAAATGTAGAACATGCTCAAACTATTGAAAGTATATAGAACACAACAATCAGTGGTTGTGGAAGAAGGGACAACACTCTACTACTGTGCCTCATATATCTGTCTCTGAATGGCTTATGGCTTATAATGTCAGGGGCAGGTGGTAGGTATCAAAAGAAGTAACCTTCAGCTTCTGCTGACCTTCATAAGGTTCTAGCAGAAAGGCATGATGGGATCTCAACATCTAAAAGGTATAGAGTCCTGGCATTTAGGCAAATGTCCTTTTTAGAAAAGAGTGGTGGTTGGCTGATCAGGGAATGCATAGTTGGATCAGGAGCATACCATGCATGGCCAAAGTGAAAGAAACTAGAGGAGAGGTTTACTGCAACCAGGGCCGGATTTTCCCACAAGGCTAACCGAGGCCCGGCCTCAGGGTGGCAGGGAGCAGAGGGGCAGTAGGGATTCCTATCGTAGTTGCAGGTGCTGGGCGGGTAGTTGTTTTCTACATTTAGCCCTGCTTTGGGCAAGCAGGGTTACAAATGTACAGCACAGCCTGCTCGTCCATCCTCCCCCAAAACCTCGCCCCTCCACACCCCGCCGGCTACCTCTCTCCCCGCCATCTACCTCTCTCCCCACCGGCCAGAGATCCTCTCTTCAGCATGGAGAGTGGGTTCTCCGCTCTGCTCTGTGTAAACAGTGAGGGGGGAAAGCTGCACAAATAAAAAGTAAAAAATAATAAGAAAAAAAAATTGAAAAAAGTAAAAGAATAAATAAAAACTAAAAGAAATTATTAAAAAAAATGTTTAAACTAACCCAGCCGCCCCCGCCATCTGGTTGCAATTCTCCATGGGGGGTTGGCGGGAAGGGGGGGTGCATTGAGGAACCTGGCCTTGCGGCAGCAGAGAGAGTAAGTCTGGCCGTGACTGCAACGCTTTGCTTAATTATCCTCCCACTTAAATAACTTTATTAGAAGCAGTTGTGTTACCAAATACATAGCCAGCACTGTCTTGGCTCTCTCAGATTTCGTACCTGTAACTGCACGCGTGTCCTGCAAACATGCAGGTCAGAATCATGTCCTCTGCTTGGTACCCCATTTTAACCTTTTCTTCTAGTGGTATTTTGGAAAAGATGCTGGAGAACTGAAGCAGGTACCATTCTCTTATCGCCTGGACACCACTTGTAAAATTCCGATACATACACTGCGTGTAATTGTTAGTGCACTGTAGGAAAAAGCCAAGGAGGAAGATATTATATGTGAGACACAGACCTCTATTTTACAGATAAAAATGTACTTTACTATCCTTATTAGTTTTAAAGAGGACCACAAAAGAACTTTACTAGTCTGCTCCAATAAATTCCAGACCTGTCACTATATACAGAACAGTATATAATATAAGTACATAGTATATAATTGTTTTAAAAAAATCCGTGCTTTATGCAAAAGAAGTCAATTGATTTTGCCTAGGTTCCAATGATGTCATCGGTCTGCTGCAGACAGGAGGAAGCAATTCCTCAATCTCCTCTCCCCAGTTAGCAGACTGTAACATTGTAACTTTTTAGCATGTTACAAAGTGAGAGGCGGCAGCAGAGACTGATTTGTGTCAGGCATATGCACGGGCACCAAGAATTAGATTCTTTTGTCTCTGAACCAGCATCTCAGTCCAGGAAGTAGATGCTAACCCTGGCTATTGCTTGAACAAAGATGCCTTTATCCTTCTGGAGAGAAAAGCAGATAAAAGCATTGCCAGGGGGAGTACTGTGATCTTTATGGGAGGTAATAGATTCCTGGAACTGTTATACATAACAATTAAAGCTCATCTTTGGGCAAATAACAACCCCCCATTCACTCCCACCCCCTCTCCTATTCACATTTTTATTAAAAATACCTCTACAGCTGTTTTTTTAACTCATTCACCATCCATGTGCCTCACAGGTGCCTCTTCCAGTTGTGGAAACCAGTAATCCAATGGTCTCCTCACCAAATGGTAACCTCGTTGTGATGTCATCTGCATACTCCTTCCTCCTTGCCTTCCTATTGGCCAGTGAGTCCGCCTATTGCATTTTGTGGCTTATAAGTAGATGGGGAAGAGATAAGCCAGAAGCAACATGAAGCTGTGGCCCACATGGCTCTGCTACCCCTATATCCATTGACTGCTTTAAAGGGGAATAGGGCTGTGCTTCTTCTCTTCAACCAATAGATGGTGCTATCCAAGGATATGATCAGAAGCAACAGACAGAGAATACGCTTTAACATAGATGCTGAGCCTGCCAAACTTTACATAACTTCCTTACTTCTTATATAGGGACAGCCCTGGCTGTATGTGTCCCCAATGGGGAGATTTAAGTATCGGAAGAGGATTTGGGCGAGTAAGAGTGCCGATACTGATAGTAGTTTCGATATCGGTGCATCCCTAATTACAAGGCATTTGCTAATGGTGATATCACATACTGTAGTGTATATAAAGAATATCTTCATACACAGATATAGCAGCTAAGACCACAACGTTCGGTTGTGACCTTCAATCCTATTGTGACAAAGTCACTCTGTACAAAAGTGAATTTACAATTTCTGGCTGCTGCTCTGATTGCTTGAGAATGACTGCAAAGTGTCTTCATGTGATCAAATGCTTTGTTTACCGACGTCTATTAAAGCTATGCAGACAGGGTTTTACAAGGATTACATGGCTTTGATGTGGCTGGGACCTTGTGCCAGGAGATTGTGTCATCTTTAAGGCTAAACCTCATAGCTAGATACTATGAGACAGAGCATTTTAAGACCTTAGTTGTATTCATCCATCTGACCGATACAGACAGAATTTGTCTATACTGCTAAACTCGAACATTCTAATAATCATCTAAGACATAATTTTCTTTATAACTGTTTCCTTCATTCTAGTAAAAAGCAGATTGATTTATGACTCAGTGGAATTATGGTTGTAACTGTGACTGACCTACTCAAATATGATGTCACTCACCTCCGAGACATTTCATCTTGGTCTACCCAACATGCTTACAATAGCTGGATGGAGATTGAAAATAGATGTATCTTTCCAATGTATTCCTGCTCTCTGGTGTGGCCCCCTAGTAAACAAATATCTAGAAAGCTAAAGGTTCCTCTCCTGTCATCTATGCCTTTTGCAGTTTCTATCTGTCAATGCAGAGAGACATTTTCCCTTGCCTCCCACCCCTAACTAATATCCTGCATAACCCTGCCATACCAGACAGTTTCTCTGTACCTACCACTTTAGCTTGGGCACAAGCTGAACTTTTCCAACTCATGCATGTAGCCAAATTGGTCTCTCGTTGGCTCAGGACCTTTGTAGAATTAGGTACTAAATGTGACCTCCCCATGTGCTTGTTCAAATTTTTACGTACAATTAAAACATTATATGTCCACTGGCTGCACTACTGTCACATTGCAACACTCTACAATCTTTGAAGCCATTTGTTCACATGGTTTCTTCGAGCTACACATGATTATGGATCTTTATAAACTTAATTATGCTGCCAGACCAGTGAAAGAGGGTCAACATGTATACAAGAGAAAGTAGAAGTAAATTATCCAGTGCCCAATATCCCTGCCCTTGTGGGACAAGATTTGGAAGAATGCATCCAAGACCTCGATATGTACAACTCATAAAGAAACTCGGTACAAGTACAAGTACAGATACTTTTCTAGCTCCATGACTAGACTAGAGAAAAATTACATAAGTTAGTAGGCAGCTGTCATTTGTAAGGAGCACACGGAGCTCCTGGGATTTGTACATCTCTGTTTTAATGTATGATTTTATTATTATAAACATATATAAAGGGATGCACCAATACCATTTTTACAAGTACTGATACTTGTCCAAGTACTTACAGATACAAGTACTGATACATTTTTGTTTATTGTCATGTGACAGTTTTTTTAAAACAATACAGGCTAATGATTTCAGGACAGTGGTGGAGCGCCAGAGCTAGGTCCCAGCTGCAACCGCTGCAACCCTGGTAGTTCTCATGAAAATGCCAAGTATCGGCACTGGTATCTGAACTGGTATCTGTGCATCCCTAAAAGAAACCATATATAAAATTCTTACATTCTGGTACAAAACTCCAAAATTCTTGCATCCTATCCCTAAGGAATGTTGGTGATGTGGGTATTCAGTTGCTATACTTTATCACATTTTCTGGTACTGCCCCTTGATACAAGTATACCGGGGGTCGCTGACTTACTTCATACAAGTCCTAAATTTAATACTCACTTTCGACCCAATCCATTATCTACTTGGCCTCTCTTTTTCCAGACATACCCAAAAATTCTTAGAAGATATCAGCACACATTCTTACAGCAGTTAGAAGGCAAATTCCACTATGATGGATAAAAACAACTGACCCATCTCAGATGGATCTAACCAATATTATGGAGGATAATAGGATGGGAAATTGGATGGCCAGAACCTGGGGAAAATTGAACAATTTCCTACAGATATGGGCTACTGGGACCAATCAGCCTATGATCTCCTGAAACCCCTACCTCTCCTCAATGAATGTGACTTAACTGTGGAACCTGACTTTATATACATTTGGTTGACTTCTAGCTTAGAATATCTAATTTTGCTCTATAGCACCCATTTCACAATTGTTTCTTTACCCTTCTTGATGCATTCATATGTTGTTTCAAGAACATTATTTGTGATAACACTTGTGGAAAGACCCCATTTACAGTATATTCAGCCATCAAGACACTATGGACCCTCTCAATAGAAATTAACTTACCATGTGATAACACAGTGCTCATGTATATTTATACTGGTTTAATGTATCCATCAATATATGCTTATCTAAATGAGGTACTGTAATTTCTCATACTGTCCTTTTGTTTAAAAAGGGTCTTTTAAGCAAGTTAGGGTGTGTTGGCAGCACATTCCTTTTAAATGTTCTGCGTTAACGCAACCCACATTAACTCGCTCCATATTGCGTGTTAATGCACCACAAAACAGTAAATGGGACCTTAATGTTTGCAGTTGCCAACTAAATACAAGCCGGTTTTGAACCTGTTTCTACTGATTTTGTAACTGAGAGCGGTATGTCTCAGTTTGTCTCATAATGTTAGATTATCAAAACCACAGTGACGGCTGTCGCAGCAATCACAGCAATCACGCAGAAAAGGAAGGCAAATATAAGGAGACTTAAGGGATTAGAGAAGACTTTGCAAGACCTGGCATGAGCTCTAAGTGTAAAAGGCACATAAGAGTTATTATATAAAACAGTATCTGAAGCGCTCTGCTATCTGTTCTTATAAATTAATCCAGCAGCATCAGTTCACAACAGTGCACATGAAGTATATAAAGGCATAGGTAATTTGGTAGGTAAGTCATATCCCTTCTCCTACCTATGGCTTCATATTGGACAACCCAACCTCCCTCTGTGCATACACTCACTGGAACATCTAGGATAGGGGCAGGCAATCTTGGCGCTTCAGATGTGATGGAACTACAAGTCCCAGGAGGCATTGCAAGACTCTGACAGTCACAGGCATGACTCCCAGAGGCAGAGGCATGATGAAAATTGTAGTCTCACCACAGCTAGAGTGCCAAGGTTGCCTACCTTTGATCTAGGATATCTATAGTGAGTCGGAAGCTGTGATGTGCAGTAAGGTCCTTCCTTGGTGAGGCATTCCCCCAGCCCGCTGACACCCGCAACCCTGTCACTGAGCTATATGTGGAGGAGGGAGGCGCAGGGAGGAGGCAGGGCCTTCTTGTCCCTCACTTGCTAAGTGTTTTTTCTTGTGTTAGGCTACACAACCAGTGGGGAAGCCCGCTGATGTGTAACCTAACTTAGCTGTCAAAAGCCAGATGCATTCTGGTTGAATGTTGATTATGCTCGATACCTCAAATGATGTCATAAGTTTTGTATTTTCTATATGCAACTTTCAAAATAAAAATTGTCAATTTAAAAAAAAAAAAAAAAGCCAGATGCAGTGTCACCTGTAATTAACAGGCAGCGCTTAGTCCATGACAGATTACATAGCGGGGAGGCTTTCCCTTCTGTGTAATCTGCTACAAGCCACTCTGAATGGAGATAAAGCTGTCAGCCTCAGACTTGAAGCTGACAGCTTTTTCATCCATAATACTAGACAAGGCTCTGCCTCACCTGCCTCCCCTGACCGTGCGTCCCTGGTCTGAAGCAGTTCACATACCATGATCCAGCAGCTCTTCTACTTTAATGTAACTCTTCATGCAGCAATCTTCACCGTGGTTATTTATTTCAACAACACTGCAACTGTTTCCACTACCTGTTACCTTTGTTTTACCCCTTAAAAGCAAATCCATATATGATTATCAGAGAAACCTTTTGGTGAGACCAGAATTATATAAATCAGCCTTTCTCATCTAGAGTGCTGTGACACCCTGGGGTGGCTTCTGGCTTCCCTATGGGTGCCTCAAAATGTTGCTATGTTAGGACTCTGATGTGAAGGAAAGACCGAGGACTCCTGATGTGAAAGGAGGGGGCTCTGACGTGAAGGGGGCTACTGATGTGAAGGCGGATTCTGATGTGACAGTGGGGACTCTAATGTGAATGGGTGGCTCCTAAATTGAATCCAGCCAGCAAACCCCATATGATGAAAGCTGCATGTTTCTAACATTCCAACAATCCTATGGCAAAATTAACCTCTACACAAATTGCCAAACTATATCCTAAATTATGGATGAAACACAATGGATAGACACAACTTCATCTGGCTGCTGGAAGCTGTGAATGTATAATAACAAATCCTGCCTTACAAATCTCTTGGTAGGTAAAAAGTTAACATATATGTTTCAACCTTTTAGCTGTTGGTCCAAAGTTTTACTGTAAGCTGACAAGGGGTAGAATGAGGGCAGGTTTTCTTCAAACGTGATTGGCAAAGGTCAAATGGAAACCAGGCTGTGTTTCTAAAATGACGAATGAGTAATGAGCTAATTTGTGTGCTGCCCCATTTATGGTCCAGTCACAGACTAGGGGAGGAGAAGACCTTCCAGACAGAACTTGCAGGACTGCATGGCCAACAGCGCAAATCCTTTGGCTGGCTCTCATATAGCTCTCATATACAGTACATGTATTTCATGGGGATATTTTGGTTGTTTTTGGTTTGGTTGTTTTGGTTGTTTCCCTGGAGCTTAGCTGTAAATAAGAATTAATAAAATGGATCAAAGAATGATGGATGATTATTCTTACCAGTTGTATGGCTATTTTATATCTGTCGGCATTGTAGGTCTGGTTGGCTTTGGTGGCATTATTGACCTGGAAATTATCTGTGCTGCCATCAAAGATGTTGTAGACAATTGGATTATTCGGATCGTTTTCATCGATGACAACCAGGGGCATGTGGTTCCACAGACTCGGGTCAAGGGTCACATTCTGGTTTGTGCTGTTGGGAGCCGATAGGCTGGAGCCCTGCTGAGTTGAAAACTCAATCCAATCTAAAGCGGTGTCAACCAATTCATCCAAATCATGTAGGAGATGCTTAACACGTGAATATCTGTAATGCAAATACACAAATATATGTTCAATTTATATATGGTGCCATATAACATGGAAGTTGAACTCAAGAAAAAACAAGTTTTGGATAGAGCGGAAAAAGGTTAGAACCTCGGTCCAGCTTTTACTTCTGTGTCCCCATTAGGAACTTTCACCCTCAGGGGGTAAAGGAAGAGGGAAGGGAAATCCATAAGCAGGGCCGCATTTGCCACAAGGCCACCGGGGCGGTGGAAAGAAGAGGAAGATCGGATTAAGAGACATCATTTAATTAACAAGGTAAGTGCTTTAATTAACATTGGAGGGAGGGAAAAAAATTATCCTTTAATGTCACTTTAAGGATGAAGAGTGGTAAGAAGAGCGGAGAACGTCCGTTCTCGGTCTGCTACGTGTGAACACTGAGACAGGAATGCTACACTCGCAGCCTTCGCATCTCAGCTGTCACAGGAGACCCAGCACAGTGCTGTGCTAAAACTCCTGTATTGGAGGTGACAGGTTAATTAAAAAAATAAAAACCAAAACCGGCCGCCCCCGCCATCTGGTTGCCAGTCTCCATTGGAGGAATGGGGGGATTGGTGGGGAGGGGGGCACCTTGAGGAACCTGGCTTTGGAGTAGCAGAGAAAGTAAATCTGGTCCTGTTCATAAGCTCCCATTTGGCATCTAGGTCCCAGAAACGTTGGTCCTACTTGTAGTGCCGTAGATTTTTATAAGCTAGCTGATCCATTTTTTACATTCTCCCTCTGCAGATGCCAAATATTTGATAGAATCAATAAATCAACACGGAGTTAGGATCCTACATAGTTGCTGCTCCTTGTTGCATGCACTTGCCACATATTCTCTGCACCACAAACAAGCATTTTACCTTATTTTCATTTTTCCTGTGCCATTCAAGAAATGAAAACATATTTATACCCAGTAGCACAAATTAGTTTTTTTTATTCTCGCTCACTAGTATTTTGAAGTGATGGCAACATTAGTTTAAATTTGTCAGGTTTTTTTTAATGATCCTTGCATTAACACACTTTCTGTCCTAGGATAACAGCACTCATTCACTGTACTGTATCTATGGAGGAGGAGCAATGTCATCCTAGGGCAGAAAATGTGTTATAAATACAGAACACCTCCCCTGTCCTTTTATCCCTATCAAAGTAAGAAGGTATTCTGTAGTCCACAGAGATAATTGGGAACAAGTCAGCAGAGAGCATGGTAAGGCTACATTCACACTATACAATTTGGGATTCCTGCCGCAGGAACCTATGGATTCCTGCAAGGCAAGTAGAGGACATAAGCTGTGTGAATGCCAAGTATAGTGGGATGCTGCATACTGGTGATGTGGTGGTGCACTGATCAAGTTGGCTGGAGCATTCCCCTTCATGATGGACTGGCAGCTGTGAACAGGTTGGCGAGTAGCTGCATTAGTAGTAGTTAAATCATCTGAGGACAGCTGGCAGAAAGGGGGTGGGGGGTTTTTTGCTTGGAGTGCCTACTAACAGTGGCAGACACTATCCACCAGTAATCATGAAGAGTGTTATTCTGCAGGATATACAATGGAAAACTTGCAGACTAGCAAGTGCTGTCTTTGCATTATCTGCAGTAACAGAGCTGTGAGCAGACCGCCAAAGGGCAATTCCTGAGATAAGGTTCAACATGGGAGAAGCAGCTCTAGTGTTACCTCACCCTCCGCATGGGGTCTGCAGTGATGGAGAGGCTACTGGATTTTCCTGTACTTGTGAGTCAAGTACTCCCTGGGGAATTTGAAAGCATCCTCTGTCAGCCGGGAGAAATAATCCATCACGTGTACTTTAAAAGGTGTTTTCTGTTTTGCAGTTATTTAAGCAGATATTCATCACACCTGACATTTACACTATATTTCTCAACAACTGGTATGTACCCTCTGTTTGTTACATTAAATGTAGAATAACTGGTTCTAACAAAATAACAAATGCTATAAACACACTCCAATAAGTATTACAGTACATTTGAACACTGAATAAGCCTTTTCAATATACTTCTTGCATATGCTATTATAAGTTCTGGAAATGCAATACTTCCAAAACATGTGTACATGTGTTTAGCCAATGAAGGCAAAGGGACAGGCTCACTTTGATTCCCCCTCCTCCTTGTTGCTTATACTCAGCTCCCGTTCACTCCTCCACTCCTCCACCTCACTGGGCACCCACCAGAGCAAAGTTAAAAAGTCCCCTGTAAGCTCTAAATTGTTCAGCAAATGCTAGCTGTTAAAGCAGAACTACAATCTCCTATCCTTTACAGCCAAGGAAAGTGCCATCTTAGCCTCTATTTGGATTTCAGTTGTCATGGTGTAGACATTTGAGGGCTTGAAAGTTTGGATGAGTCCTGAAATAAGCACACTGGCAACCTTGACAGGACAGTTGTTACAAAATGCATTACTTGAACGTAACTGTTTTTCAAAGAAAGTTAAATTGGTATATCCAGTTCTGTGTTAAGAATGAGTAAGACTGGGAAATTTCTGCAAATTTGGTGACATTCCCTGCAACTATGCAATTTTTGTTAAATGCATTGGAGTTCATGGAGAAGGCACAATTAAGGAGTTTTTCGTTGGTTGTAAGGGTGCAATGAACTTTAAATGGCCGCTGTTAGTTAATGAACCTCCATTTGATTATCTTGGACTTGTTTATTGGTCATACTAACCTAATAGTAAGCCTGGTTCTAAAAGGTATCCCTTGTGATAACCCTAACCCCTTTACTGATAAACAAATCCATTGATCAGCACAGTGGTCACATGGTTGTCAACAAAGCCATGTCTCACAATGAGCGACCATTAAACTTTGACTACTGTGCACTTCCCGTTTTGTTATGCTAATTTCCCTGCATGGCAAAATTAGAGTCCAGTTTCAAAAAAATGTCTGCAAAAACAAAATCACAAATTTCATTGCAAAATAAAGTTAACCACTCTGCTCCTCCCTACTGACTATATATGTAATGGTGACATTCCAATCTTTGATTTAATGGTTTCAAACCATCTTTCAATGGCAATCAAAACACAAATGGAAAAAACTATTTGATTGAATTTGATTGGATTTTCAACTAGGGCCATTTTTACTTAGACCAATTTCAGATGGGTGGTCCGATCAGGTCCGAGTGTCCATTTTTCAGGCAGATCTGACCGAAAGCCCTATGATAGTCTATGGGCAGCTGGATCTAAATGGACGTGCGTCTGTGTACATCCAATGACCCCCAACTCCCTCCAGGTACGGAAAACCAAACAGAACAGAGTTCCGTTTTGACTAATCTGATTGTAACAGATAGAGGGTAATCTGATGTAAACAGACACATATCCATTTACACGCGACTCCCAACAGACCTAATGTGGGTCCGGTAAGTTCAGTTTTTTCCTCCATCGCAAGATGAAGGAAAAAACTGGGCTGACATGGATGTCACATTGGTGACATCTGTTCCATACTGCTCCGGACAGCAGAGATCCGTGCACGAATGCCTTGCTCATTGGAACTGACAGCACCCATGTGAAAGGGGCCTTAGTGCAATCTGTCTCAGCAGTTCTAAAGGTTGTATTGTTACCCGTGTGGCCGGAATACAAAAGAGCATGGAAAGAAGCTATCTTCTGATGGATGAGCAATCATTGTGTACCTACGGAGTATATTTCCATCATTATCTAATTGAACAACCCTATGGGTGGCTAAAATAAAGCTCCACTGTGGGAATGAATGACATGTATGCACTAAAAAGAGAACCTGCCAGGGCATTTTAGGAAGAAGGGTTGTGGGCACTAGACAGGCCTTAAATTAAAGAAATGGTAAGAAACGTGAACTTGTCCTTTCTATTTTCTTCACACTTGATCAAATTGGAGCAGTCTATACAGCCTGGGCAAGAAAAGTAGCCTGGTTTCCTAATCCCCCAAAATGGGAGAGGTTTAACCATCTGAGGGGTTGACCAATATACAGTATATAGATATTTCCCAGAACACTTTGGAGCAAGTCAGCGTCAACAACTCAGGACCAGCAGCAAACTTGTTTCTAATTTTCTAGGCCTTTCTTTCCTCTGATTCTCCATTCCAAAGAGACCTTACAAGTAACCCTTTATGACTTTCTTTATTAGGGAAGAACATAATAAGGAATTATAATACTTTATTATTAGGGCAATGATATCACAGAGGTAGGAAGTTGCATTCAAGCACCCTCTTTCATCTATCATCACTGGACTTTGATCCCTCTCCATCCTGGAATGTTGGCTTTCCCCTGTATAATGGTAAGGGGTCCAAAGGACCTGTTTAATGGATTTCTATGTGCCAAGCGATTTACCTCACCCACATATTTACGTTTTCTTCTCATTTGTATGACTTATTTTTTAGTCAGGAAATTACCTATTTTACAGTAAGGGGTGAGGTCTTTACTCACTTGAAGGGGTTGGCATTGCAGACGGTCACAGCAGGGAACACCATGGTGTTGAAGCCTACAGAGAGTGACACACTGACGCCGTAGGACAGGTATGTTTGAATCACAAGCCCCCACTGCCAGAATGTGAGGCCTGCAAAAATCAGAGTCAGTATGAACCACATGACTCTCTTCTTTGGTCCTTCAGTGACGATGCGCTTTGGCCCATGAGTATTGGTATTGCTACAAAACCAGACCAGCAGCTCCTTGTAGGTGTAACCAGGGCCCTTTTGCATCCGGTGCAGGGCCCTTGTGAAATACCGCTTCGTCCTCTTCACCATCACCTGCAAGAGTTACAAACATTCCAATCATTAGATTGTCATAGCATTATCTCACACTCATTTTTTCCCCATTTCCCTCCCCCCACCCTTTCCTTCTTATATCTTTCCTTCCATTTCCCCTCATACATGGTAGGGTTTTCAGTAATGAGCATGCAACTATTCCTCTTCTGCAATACAGAATGATTTCATGACAGAAAGCTTTGTTCTTAAAGTGCAACTAAAGCCAAACCCTTTTTTTTAGTTTTGGATAGAGTGGAGAGGGATTAGAAGACCAGTCAGGTTTTAATTGCTTCTTCTCTATTTGTCCTGGTGACTAGACATGTAAGCTGCGGAAAAATTTGGTTCGGATATTTCGTTATTTTGGGTTTCGGTTCCGAAATTCAATTCGGTTCTGGTTTCGGATTCTAATGAAATCTGAATTTTCATTAGTTTTGGATGCGTTTACGAGTATTCGTTGCGAATACCACAGAAAACCATATACAGATATTAATACTATGAAGATTCTAGATCCGAATGGCATTCGGGAGTCCAAATTTGTGAATTCCTGAATACCATTTGGGAGTTCCAGAAAGCAATACGGGTCTGGGAGCCATATTAAAGCTGAGTCTTCCAGACCCGAATGGCATTCAGGAGCTCTCAAATGCTGTTTGGAAATTCGGCCTCTATTCGGGTCTTGGAGCATCAGTTTTAGAATTATGTATATTTAAGTAGTATTCTTTAGTGTGAACGAATATTCATATCGGCAACATTGTGACCCATATATACAGAAAACGAAACCTGAGGCTCCCAGACCCAAATGGCATTTGGCAGCTCCCGAAAGCAATTCGAAAATTCGTGTACAGACCCATTCGGATGCATGTCTACTGGTAACCATTATCATTGATAGTGAAAGAAAGTCCCAAATTTTGGGTTATCACCAGTACAGGAATAGATGGGAAATCTTCCAATTGGGACACTGCTGGCCACCAGGGATTTCACTTACTTCCTGTTGTAGCTATAAGACATGAAGTGAAGGGAAATCTCCCCAATTGGACAGATAAGCCGACAGGAGTTATAGCCCTTCCTTAATCTATCCAAATAAAAAAAAAGTTTTAGCTTCAGTTCTTCTTTAATAATTTCATTCCAATTCAATTAATTACTCTATTTGTTGTAATTTAAATTCTCATTTAACAAATAAACCCTGGCTTGGTTTTCACTGGGTAAGGGTCCTCCCTTACATACAACTATGTCTTATATCAGCCATACAGGTACACATTTCCTTTAACAATGTTGCCCATAAGCGGTGTAAGTACTTTTATTTTTACTTATCAGCAGATATATATTTATTTAACTGTTTAGCTTTAACTCATCATTGTATGTACAGCAAAGTGTACTTATATCCTTTGTGGCTATAAATGAATATATTTAAATGACAGTTTTTATGCACAAAGTTCAGCTTTAAAGGAGGTTCTTATGTGGGCTGAACATCCCTATTGCCTAATACAGCAGCCCAATGCAGCTCCTAAACTTCACTTTCTTTATATGTGATTAATAAGCAGCTCGAGATGAGGAATGACGTGTTTTTTTGACATACGTCTGACGCCATTCATTGTGGTTACTGCAGAGCACACTGATTCTACGATCTCGTTCTCTTCCAGGATCTAGAATTACACTCTTTACTGGCCAGACAAGAAATGTCACTTCATTCAAAATGAACGGCTTGAAGAGAATTACACAATGTCCTTATAGAGCTAAAGGACCCTAATCAGCCCTAGAAAAGGCAAGCATTCAGTCTGGAGAGAAATCAAAACTAGTTAAAGAGAAATTCCACATTTTGCTAAATGCACATGTCTTCATAAAATATATATTAAAAAAATGTTTGCATAGGAACCAGTAAAACATTGCAACTATGATCAGTGGATTGTGGGTGCAATGCTCTGACCCCTGCATACTCTTCCTCCTGTCCATGTCCATACCAAAGTATGGACATTCAGTAACATAGATGGGAGGAAGAATGAATGGACTACGAGGGCAGTGATATCACCACACTTGTATTCTATTGAGAACTACATCCTGCTGCAGTGATGGTTGATGAGACTTGCCAAAGGATCTGTGCATGGATAACGTGGCTGGGTGGGCAGAGTGAAGCAAGCCTGCAGGAGCAGAACCCCACAATTCAGGTAAGTGGGGGTGAGCCGAAGGTGGAGAGATCCATTTGGAGGGAGCAGAGATCCATTTTGTTGTAGTATCCACTGAGTCCAATCAAATCCCTATCCCATTCTAAAGCTAGCCATATACTGTGCAAATTTCATGAAAAATTGGCCAAAATTCATACAGTGGGTGCCGCTGTTGTCACCCTTCCGGTCGGCATTCCTCAATCTGAAGATCGAAGGAGCTGGATGCAAATCTCTGAATGAATGTGTATTCTGACAGTGGTCAGCAGGTGATTCATCCATCAACCTTTGTAAGTATTGATGGAGGAATCTCTTCTATTTTTTATGTTCGTCCTGCATCTTGAACTAAAAAAAAAAAATAGAACAATGTATGGCCATCGTCAGCCCTGATGAAGTGGGGAGTGTTGTTCCCCAAAATGCATTGGTTTTTCGTTTGCTCGAATTGCGAACCATTAAAAGGCACTTTTGGACTTTTTCACCTTTTGGTTGGGTGCCCTTTTTTTTAACAAGGGAGGCTGTCCTGTTTGGGAATTGCCTTTGCAGTGCCAGTGAGCTTATTTGCAACCTTTCCTGCATGTGGGCGATTCGAGTGAGCACATAAACCCCAGTGCCTCTGAAATGACTTCCATTGAAGATTGTTCTGTATGTTAATGTGACTCTGGCTGTAGCAAGATACAAAGTGTCATGTCATGCCTACAGTGGTTGGGTTGAGTCCAGAACTACCCAAAAGGTACGCAATGTACCATGTTAATGATAGTTATTATAAAGCAGTACAAATAAAATGTTTATTACGCAATCCATGTGTGGAAACCCGGTCACAGGAAACAGACGTCTAGCAAACAAAAAGAGTGCTGCAAGCATAGAGTGCAAGCACCTACAAACATGCACTGTGAACAGCAGCCTGCAGATACATAGTTACATGGTTAGTCTAGCTGAAAAAAGACATGCAAAATGCAGATTGGTGAGCCATTCTGGGTAGTGTCCAAGTTGTTTTGCGAAATTCAGCCCCCTGATGTTCCTATTCCTACCCTAGCGCTATTGTGTGTTCATTCACCAGCCAATGGCAATGTGCAAAAGGCCGGAAGGGATGGGCAAGCTTTGAAGGTATAAGGATGTTCCGGAGCGTTCCCTGGATGCCCTGGCAGGGCATTTGGCCGTATCTTCAGGTTTTTTGAGGCTGCTTAAGACTGTATGTAGGTGTCTATACTTTATACCTGCAGCAGTTTTTTAAAATTGTTCTAAAGATAGAGTCCCTGGGTGTGAACCTCAAAGTCCCTCGGGCTGGGAATTTATTGTTTAAATGGTTAAAACCGAGCATAACTGGTTTGGCACTCATTTCCTGGCCCTGAGTAACACTGAAATAAAGCATGGGGCTCAAGATGGCCAAGAAGAAAAAAAAAATCGAAGAGACCTATCCACTGCACTATGCTATCACTTGTAGTAGTAAAGAAGTCAAGTAATACATATATGTATATATAGTGTACATTAATAAATACATTCAATCAAAAAGACAACATTGAATTAAATACATTTTAAAAAATGAAGGGACCCACAGTCTTCCCCATAGCACATACGTAAAAATGCGTATGACTAGGATGCGTGTGCGTACATCAATAGCAATTGCGTTACATAATGGGGCGTGTTTATAAACAATTTGCAGAGCCATTTGCCCTACGACATTGCATGTACTTTCGTTCTGTGAAAATGGAGGCAAAGAAACTAATGTTATTAGAATATTTTCCTTCTATGTTAAATGTATTCCCTTTAGGTGAACAGCATCTACTCCTTTAGTAAATCAACCCCTTTAAGTGAACAGCATCTACTCCTTTAGTAAATCAACCCAATTAGGTGAACAGCCTCCGTCCCTCTAGTAAATCAACCTCTTTAAGTGAACAGCCTCTACACCTTTAGTAAATAATCCTATTTAAGAGAGCAATAGCTACACCTTTAGCAAATCAACCCAATTAGGTGATCAGTCTCTACTTGTTTAGTAAATCAACTCCTTTAGGTGAATAGTCTCTACACCTTTAGTAAATCAATCCCCTAAGTGAACAGCCTCTAAGCTTTTAGTAAATCAACTCCTTTACATGAACAGCCTCTACACATTTAGTAAATCAACCCGTTTAGGTGAAAAGCCTCTATGCCTTTAGTAAATCAACCCTTTAAGTGAACAGCCTCTACTTTGTTAGTAAATCATCTCCTTTAAGTGGACAGCCTCTACTCCTTTAGTAAAATAGCCCCTTTAGGTGAACAGCCTCTACTCCTTTAGTAAATCAGCCCCTTTAGGTGAACAGCCTCTATTCCTTTAGTAAATCAGCCTGTTTAGGTGAACAGCCTCTACTCCTTTATTAAATCAGCCCCGTTAGGTGACCAGCCACTACTCCTTTATTAAATCAGCCCCTTTAGGTGAACAGCCTCTACTCCTTTATTAAATCAGCCTCTTTAGGTGAACAGCCTCTACTCCTTTATTAAATCAGCCTCTTTAGGTGAACAGCCTCTACTCCTTTATTAAATCAGCCTCTTTAGATGAACAGCCTCTACTCCTTTATTAAATCAGCCTCTTTAGGTGAACAGCCTCTACTCCTTTATTAAATCAGCCCCTTTAGGTGAACAGCCTCTACTCCTTTAGTAAAATAGCCCCTTTAGGTGAACAGCCTCTACTCCTTTATTAAATCAGCCCCTTTAGGTGAACAGCCTCTACTCCTTTAGTGAAATAGCCCCTTTAGGTGAACAGCCTCTATTCCTTTAATAAATCAGCCCCTTTAGGTGAACAGCCTCTACTCCTTTATTAAATCAGCCCCTTTAGGTGAACAGCCTCTACTACTGCTTTAGTAAATCAGCCCCTTTAGG